CCGGGACCGACGGCGGTGACAACGCCGGCAGCCTCGTGTCCAAGGACGAGCGGCTGTTGCACGACAAAGTCGCCGTTGCGGCCGTGCTGGTAATAGTGAACTAGGAAAACTCAGGGGTAAACACAGGTCGTAGTACGAATGAGGCGCGAGACATACGGTCGCTGCCACAGAGACCAGTTGCGACCACGGCCACCTGGACGTAGCCTTGCTGTGGTGGCCAGAGGGGGCGCTCCTCGTAGCGGAGGTCCTTGGGGCCGTGGAGGACGGCAGCGTGCTGAGTGGGGAGGGCGACGGGGGACATGGTTGCGGATGCGAGTCGGGAGGGGCGATGGAGATGAGAGTGGAGAATACGACTGGAGCATTTATATTCGTAGACGAACGAGTCTCGTGAGGCGCGTGTGCTGGACTGAACCGCGCAGGGCGAGGGAGCCTTTCCCCCCCCCGGACCGACCGTCCGCGCCCCCTCTGCGTGATCGACAATATGCTGACGTAAGCACTACCATTTAGGGGCCGGCCTCCTCGCCCTTATCTGCGCCGGCGGGTGCCCCGGACCGCCCTCATTCGTCGATCGCTGCACGGACTCCGGACACTCCCCCGCCCCGCCGCCTCGGATCTCCGGCCCCTCCCCCGATCCGGCGACTCCCCGGCCGCGCAACCGTCCGGCGTCGTGCTCTTGCTCTCCTCCTCGTCCTGCTCCCCGCGACGAGAGTACTTATAGCGAGCTCGCCATGCTGCCTCCTCCTCCGTCTCTTTCCCATCTCCACCATGGATCCTACGCCAGCTCTCCCCGTCCTTGACCTTTTCTCCCTCGCTGGCCACAACGTCCTCATCACAGGCGCCACTCGCGGTACGTCGCTGTCGCATATACCCATCCTCCGACGGCAATATTCTCGCTGATTACACACCCCCTCTTCAATCGTATTCTTCTTATCTTCTTCAGGCATCGGAGCCGCCTGCGCTATCGCCCTCGCCGAATCCGGTGCCAACATATGTCTCGTCCAGCGCCCATCCACCACAAACAACTCTACCCGAGACGCCATAGCCGCCCTCGGCCGTATTGTCAAGACTGTCGACTGCGATCTAAGTGACTTGGAGGCCGTCAAACACGTTTTTCCTGCCGCCCTCGAGGCCATGGGCGGCGAAATCCATGTCCTCGTCAACAGCGCAGGCATCCAGCGGAGATCCCCGGCCGTCCAATTCGCCGAGCGTGATTGGGATGATGTGCGTCTCTCTCCTCCTTCTCGTGTTCTTTTCTTTCTCTTTCATTTCTCGGATCCGATTGGTCTCACCCTCAAGCTTTTGGCTCATACCTGCCGTGCGAATTCCTCCCCAATCCCTCAGCATCCCGGTTGCCTGCTCTCCCCGTTCACTTTGCTCGCGCGATGCCCGTGTCTGGGGCATGCCACTCGCTCTTGCATCATCGTTCCCACATTCATCTTCCTCTTCCCCTGACGTGCTCCGACACACTGGCCACATCCTTCGCATTCTCCCGTCCGGCGGTCCGCGATCGTGCAGTCTGTCGGTCACCCTTACCAACCACCAGATGATTTCCTATCGTATTCAAGGCGCTCGGCGATTCCCCACTTCTATGACTTTTTCTACTGATGGTGGATGCTGCACCCTGTCCGCGTGCCTCTATAACACCTGTCTAAATATGGCATTCCTCCTCGCAGGCCGAGGAGATGTAGACATTGCCGCCTTGCCTGGCATATATTTCTCCCATCGCACGCCAAAGTCTCTCTTAATGCGAACATTGCACAACACCTGTGTTGCAACTTCGTCCTACACCGCGTCGGGCGCTGCTGTCTTGTCCCTCACTCCCTTGATCGCTGTTAATCTTTCTTCGTGAAGGCGCATCTGACAGCAATTGTCCCCATCCGTTACGCGCGCCGTCTTCCCGTGTCGTAACCCTCGACGTCTGCCTATCGTGGCAGTCGCGCATCCCCCACAGCAAGCTCGCCATAGTGTTCCGAACGGCTGCTTCTCAGCTTCCGCTCCCCGCTCCACCTCTCGTTCTTCACGTTTCCGTCTACGCTGCGCCGTGCCCTGATCACCGATCGTCATCCGCTTCTGCTTCAACTCGTACGCGGTGCAGCGAATCTGGCGGACGGCCGATGCGGACAACCGAGGGTGTGCTTCGCGCATGTGCTGACCGTCTTCGCGTTCTACGTCCCTCCGTCGTCCACGCTCTTCGCCCTGCTCCACGACCCTTCGCGGCTGGATTGCGTCTCGCCCACATCTCGCCTAGGCCCCTTCTGCGCCTGGCCCGAGGTATGAATGGCCGTACGGGGGATATCGTGACGTCATTGCCGTCCGCGCTGCTGCCCTTTCCTACTTCGGCGCGCATTGGGATCATCGCTGGCTTGCTATTTCACGCTAGAAGGCATCTGTCCGGCTAGCTCGCCCTATGGGTAATGTTGGCTTGCCGGAGCGTTGCCGGTGTGAGCTGCGCGGGGCGGTCGTAGGGCCAGGCTCTGGCGATGGCTCTCTGCCATTCGATTCGTGGATACAGCCCGCTGCGCTTGCTCGTTCGCTCTCACGCACGCGCCCCGTGTAAGACATGAGCGGGGCGCGCCGTCCTCCGTTTGATGTCCCTGTCTTTCGTTGTCCTTTGCCTTTCGTCAGAGAGTGATGTCCGTCTGTCGCTTCTCTCGCCTCTGTTTTGCTTCGATCCTATTACGATCTTGCCTCATTTTTGCCGTGTATGCCCTCACGACTCGACCCTGACTTGCAGTATGGTGAATCTTGCAGGTCATTGATGTCAACCTCAAGTCTGTCTGGCTGCTTTCACAAGCAGCAGGCCAGCACATGGTCCCGCGACGCCGCGGAAAGATTATCAACATGTGCTCGCTATTGACGTTCCAGGTACGCTGTCATGTCGGCCATTCTGCCCGTCCGACAGGTTGCTGATCACGACGGCAGGGTGGCTTCACTGTTCCCGCGTATGCGGCGGCGAAGGGGGCACTGGGCCAGCTCACGAAAGCACTGAGCAACGAGTGGAGCAAGGATAACGTTCAAGTGAACGGTATCTGCCCAGGATACATCGCAACCGATATGTGGGTACTTGGTCGCTCTTGTCTCACGCCTGTTTATCCTGGGACCGTCTTTCCCTTTTCGCCCCGTTTATCGGACAGTTTTACCCTCATTTCGCCTCGTTGCAATAAGTGGGTCGAACCGTTTTCTGTTACGTGCGGCGATCAATACTTGCTGCTGCGGGTATCGCGATCCCTTGGCGTATCCAACATACGCCACCGCGCACGGGTTGTTCCAAGCGTAGTGTCGCTTTTTTTCCATCCTGGAGAGCACGTGTGCTCGTGTCGAACGGTCCCCTGACCACTGATATGTTCCGTGCAGGAACGAGAAGCTGCTTCAGGACCCCGCGCGGCTGCGACAGATCTCCGAGCGCATCCCTGCAGGGCGTTGGGGTGAGCCGCGCGACTTTGCAGGCCCTGTCGTATTTCTGGCAAGCAAGGCCAGCCAGTACGTGTGTGGGGAGTTGATATTAGTTGATGGGGTGAGTGCTTTCGCAGTTCCTCTCCGCGCCGCGGCGGCCTTCCGCCCCCGGTATGCGCGCATCAGCTTTATCTACGACGGCTAACCGCCTTTGCTACGTAGGGCTGGATGGGCCGGTGAAGATCCCTCTGGGGTGTCTTGGAGAATGTATGAACCGTAGTGAAGACCACGTCGAGATCTCCCCCACATAGCCGACGAGGTAGCTTGTACTTGTATCGGCATTTGCAATGAACAAACCTTCTGCGTCACCACGGTCATTTCCTGCTGCAACTCAGATGTCTTCTCCGCAAGGCCCTCTTTCCCTCCGCTTCGACGAGCCCCGCATCGTCGCTGAGCAAGCTGGAGCCTCTCTGCTGCATTCCTTCAGGGCTCCGTCCGACCCAGGCCCGGTGCGCCGCGTCGGAGGTCGGTTCCGAGATACGGACAGATCACGGCCGGAAGGTAAAACTCCGCTCCGGTCTGGCTCAGATCTGTCCTGCCCCGATTGGCTTGAGATCATTTCAGCCTTTCTTGGCACGGCTCATCCCGGCCCGGCGCATCCGGCGTGCGGGGGAAAGAGCACGTGCCCGCCCGGGTTTGTGCCAGGCGCCGCACGCACCAGACTCGAGGCGGTCGAAGCGGCCGGTCTCGAGTTTCGCGTGTGCAGCATCGCAGAAACAGGGTTCAAGAGGCAGACCGGTTAGTCGTAGCGAGCAGAGACGGGAGAAACGAGGTGGGCAAGTTAAGAATGGACTCTGCACGGTAATCTGGCTCACATGCGAACGTTTGGCCGGCAATTTACCGGTCCGATGAATGATGGTCACAGAAGAGTCATTCAGTCTTGCTCCAGGCGAGTCATTTTTGGCCCGTTCATCATTGCAAAGTTTAACGGACGGCCATTCGTGTGCAGAGACAGGGCGCGAGAATGGGCCGAAGGCGGAAGGCGTGAATGTTGGTTAACGGTTGCTGTAGCGCTGATGATGGTGAATGGTTCCGACAGGTCAGTCTCCGGGTTGCTGGCGAAAGAACAATGCAAGCACCGGAATGGACTAGCACAATTTGCGGCATCACATCCCTATCCGTGTGACGGCAGGCTCCAATGGAAACACAGTTGCCAGCTAGACCATGGCACCAGCGGAACTTATCCCGCTGCTGTTCTCGGGGCCCGTGCATTTTGCGAGACGAAGCTTCGCCAATGATCTTTGGAAGTGGGTTGGTTGGATTTGTGCATCACAGGTGAATACCTTCACACAGGATTCGCGGTCCGGTGTGAACCATGATTGAGGGGCCCCCTGGATATACAGCACATTCTTCGCGACCGACGAGCTCTCATAATGATGGCGCGCGCTGCCGACTTGGAGTCGGGAACGTGCCTCGCACGTTGCATAGAGTTGAGTCTAGCTCGCATTGGCTAGAGTCGAGGCCAGTGACAGCAGACCCTGGATATTCGACGGGGGATTGCCTGCGGTGGGGCTCCGCCTGGTGAGCAGATGGCTGGAGATTGGCTAGATAGCCTTTAAAGCGCGCAGCGCGGAGGACGTCAATGCGAAGAAGCCTCTGGCTGGAAAGATGGGCCCCTTTCGCTCCGCATGAAGGTGGCCTGACGTGCATCGTGCCCTCCACGGCAATGTCCAGTGGACACAGGGTCTCGTACAGATGGGAGCGGAAATTCCACCTACCATGCGATAAGACTGTGAACATACTTGGCGAAACGGTTCTAGTGCTGGGATTGCCCCGGCAAAACTTGTATCAGTGGCTGGAACTGCAAGTAGAGCACTCCAGTCTTCAGCGCCCCGCGGACGGTGTGCTGCCGACTACCATAACTTATTTGCCAGCGCCCCGCGGGGGTGACTTCCGCTCGATGTTGATCTCGGAGGCATGATTATTGGCTCCAGTAGACTTAGGGCGCGCGTTCGGACCGAAGCACTACAGAGGAATCTCGGCTGTGGGCAGAAGAAGCTTGAAACGTCCACTCGATAGTAAATTGATCCCGAATGGAAAGTTATTCTTGACAGCTACTCCAATTGTTGCGGCCTCTCGCAACGCTGCTCGAGACAAAGCGTCCTGAGCATCGATCCCATCAGAGCATCGGCGTTGATACGCGACCGTGAGTTGAGATCCCAACTCACAGCCTGGACGCGCGTGGCATCGTGGTCGCCCGGTCAGTACAGATGGACGATGGGTACAGATAGACGACCCGTGAGGACTTTATTGAGTGGCGAAAATGATCACGAATAGGCCAGTGTCAATACAGAGTTAGAGTGCGGAAGTTCGCGTAATCTGGATTCTAGTCGAGGTACATAGCTCGTTGAGGAATGGTGCCCCCGGAGATATACAGATAGGAAAGATGCCCTGGAAACTTTCCGCTGATGGGGAAACAATGGGCACAACATCTGATACCCGTGGAGACGCTCTGCTCCGTAATGGTAGGAGACAACGGGCGACTTGTTGACAGTGAGAACAAGTGGTAGCGCTGTCAGCACAGCACGTACAAATGCCGCTGGTCCCCTGGCTCGTGGACCCAAATACGAATTACGAAGAAACGTGTAAGTCTGTCTGTCGAAGGTGAGCATCTAGTGGAGTCCAATGTACGTCCTAGGGCATGAGTTCAAGGTGTGGGTGTCCCGGCTCCATTGCAATTGGAAAGATCTCTATATAATCCGAGCCAATCGCTTATCACCGAAAGGCGTGCTTGGAAGCTTACCTGGCTGTCTCCGATCTCGCAGCTGGGGCAGTCATTCAGAGGAAAAGAGGCCGCTTGATCATGCATGTACGGGCCCGAGATACGAAAAAATTGGAATAGATTGGAATAATTCCCAAGTGTTGTGTAGCTCTGTCATCGACAGGGTCAATGTACGATCATGTCATTGTTGAAGGCGGAGACCTAATTATGCATGCGTCAATGTGAAATAGTCTTACATATGGATCAATATCATACCACAGCGGGCCTCAGACCTGAGGAGTAGAGCTGAGGAGTGAACCTGAAGCAATGCGTAGGTGTCCTGCCTGTTAGTGAGAATGATGCCAGCAGGTAGACACCAGGATTGGATAGATCTCGTGCGCGGAATCGTCGTGCCGGTGAGCGCTCAGCCGAGGGGGTGCTGCGGAATTAAGACGGCCAGCTGCCTGCCATCTTCTGCCCTCAGGCCTTCAGGGATTAGGGAAACCGAACACAGGCTTCGACACGATGGAATTTAAAAAAACAGACCACGTGCCGAAGCGAGGGCTCGTGTATGAATGACTGACAGCCCACGGGCTGGCTTACGACAACGCCGAGGGTGCTGGACTCGGCAACCCGCGCATGCGCGATTATTGAGTATTGCGAACAACGAGGTGTGTCGTAGGTATCGGATATGTCCGGATCGGTGGACGAAGGGCTGGGGCTTCCTGTCGGATCCGTTCTGTTTTTCACAATGTCCGAAAGCCGAAGGCTCAATGCAGGGAAGTAGAATCACGAAAGCTTGAAAATCAGTCGCTGTTAGACTTCAACGCAAATTGGGAGTCAGATATGGCTGACGCGAATATCACTATCAGAAATCCATTGTAAATAACAAATTGGATCTACAGAACACATCGTTTTCAGTGGGAAAGCGAAGCAAATTTGAACTGCACTGCTCACTTCAGATTGGAACACCTACAAGTCCCTATATAAATAAGTGCTAAACTGGCAGTTTGGAGAGGCTATGAGCGACTGTACAGTCTTCGTAATCTCGGCTGCTCGATATCGACAAACGGCTTAACTTAGTGAGACATTTTGACCAAGGATCAAGGGTGAAAGCAAGCTCACGGACTCATCTGATCTACAGCACTCCTCTGAGCCACTCCACAGACAGCTTCACCTTCTCAGGATCAGGGTCCTGCTATAAATCGTAAGAACAGCCCATAAATTGAAAGCCTCCACGGCATAGATCAGCCCAGACCCGAGACCCTAGTATACTGCCGGCAGATGTTGCTCGAACAAATTTAACGGAAGCAAAGGAACGATACTCATTGATCGAGATCCAGAAGCGACTATCAAGGGCGATGTTGTACCCCATTAGGTAGGGATACGACCCTTCAAAGGCCTGGACACACTGGCCGAGATCTTGAAGGGTGATAAACGAATTGTATGCTGCCCTACGAAATAAGGGACATGGCGGCGAAAGCGTCGTCATCATGATCTAAATTTAATTCAACATCTATGTCGGACTCGGCTGCATGTGCGGCACCTGTGGTGTAAGGTGGTAGCCCACGCCATTTCTGTACCCTCCGCTTGAGTAAATGTTCCAGATCATCGATTGTTCGTGACTGGTTGAGAGCGGCGCGGAACTTGTTGAACCATGGTCTCCGTCCACTATTCAGACCAATGCTCAGCACTCCTGCCGGGACTGACCAGATTGGCCAAACAGAACTTACCACGGGTGATCAACAAAGTGTCTGATGTGGGTTTGTATGGTCTGAAGGGTTGCAGTATGCGGATGGTCTCTGCATAGATCCAGATATTCTAACGAGATTTCCACTGGATCGGGGACCGTACCAGAGAAAATACTAAAGATATGGTCTCGGCCGGTTTCCAAGAGATCTAGCAAACGAGGGCACAGATGCTCACCAAGGGTTCGCTAACATGCTTTCACCGACCATTATACCATCTGCGCCGGTCATCTTCCGATTACTTGCAATATCTTCCCACGTCCGCACGTTGCCATTACTGACAACAGGGACCCTGAGATTGTCCTTGAGTCTCCTGACTTGTTCTAGATCGGCTGCACCCTGTCGACGCCGCCGAGCGGAAACAGTCCGTGCATGCAGAGTTATCCATCCGGCACCTGCATCCTCCAAATGCTGCGCAAGAACCAGAGTAGCAGGAACTGGCTGACATAGACGCAACTTGGTGGAAACTGGGACGATGAACGAATGAGACATGGCAGATACTAAGGATTCCCCCATGAATTACGTTAGTGGTGCAGTTGAGGGTTGAGATCATACCCATGCTTTCAACAACAGGCCAATCTTTTTGCCCAAGCAGGTACGCCCCATAGTGTGCGTCCCGTGCGGCTTCCTGAGGGCAGCCGAGATTCAGATCTAATGAGCTTTAAAAGCTCGTCAAAAGTCCACAAACATACTTGATGCTCCGAGAAACTCACCTATTCCATCACAGTAATTTTGTACACATCTACCAGCTCTAACCACGATCTCGGGGTCATTGCCACAGAGCTGGACAACCACTGGTCGATCATTTGGATCACCTAGCTCGCGCAAATGGAAATCAAGATAATCTTTGTCGTTAAGCAACCTGTCCGGAAGCAGCATTTGCGTGTATACCAGACTTGCATTGTAGCGACGGACTAGCATTCTGAATGGTAGATCGCTTTGATTCACCATTGGTGCTGCGATATTGGTTAAATGATCCACGAGCGAGGAACACATAGCAACGGATTTGGCCACTAATGTGCGACGGGTCGAGAAAACTTGTTTTAATAAGAAGCTTGAAGATGTACTTTGATTAGATGGCTGGGCGCTTGCAAGCAATAACGGGAACGTAGCCTGCATTCGCCAGTTTGTAAAGTCACGTGAAAAACACTAGAAGCCAATAACCATGTTGGCTTGTATTGCAAGAACTGCTTCAAGTTGTGATTAAGCGCTGAGTAACTCTGTAACTTGGATCACCATTTCACCTCTGTTTAGACATGACTGTATAATCAAGTATAAATCTAGGGAAGGTTCGATTCATTGGAGACAGGTTCTGCCAAGTCATCTACAATGTTCCCCATTCCAAAGACTAGTCTTTCCAGCCCTTGACTTCCGTCATTATACGAATCATTGTAACGGTCATCGCGTGCTCTGCTCTCAAGATCATTACTGCACTTATGTGACAAATAACACAAGACACGTACGGCATATTCAACGCTGTATCCCGAACTGCAGCAGGCCTATGTGACATAAGGATGCATCTTAGATGATATATACTCTAAATTATAAACAGGGCGACAACGTACGGGATGGGTGCGCCGAGCACAGAATAGCAGATGAATAAAACCGCGAGAAAGGTAGATCGCAACCCAATCATCATGAAAAGAATGTATCGGCCGTCGCACTGAGCTGCAGAGGCTGATCAAATTAAATCTTAGCGACGAGTTCAATTGTTAGGTGCGCACTTACTATTCAATACCCCGCGTCGAACAAAAAAAAATAAGGAGTGGAGTAAGGAAGGAAACGAAATGAAATAGAATCTGAGCACTCAAACGGACTTATGTACGGTCGCATGCCCAGCATTTCTTCATCGCACGCCTGTCTAGATATCTGATGTTGTCATGCAGTCTGATTGAAAGAACTGTCAGCGTGACAGGAATAGTATCTCACAGCCAATTGGAATGTATGGAAGAAACGCCAATATGTAGTTTCAGAACAAATCAAAAGGGGCTCACATGCTGTGATCTACGAAGCGCGCGTATCCATGTAATATGCTCATAACATCCACTCAATAGTTTCACGCGAGTGGCTCCGGGGGTTGGGCGGTACAACGCCAAGGATTGATATAAAGAGCTGGATAAATCAGATTGTACTCACCTGAAGATTACTCCCAGGGAAACGATAAAAGCAAATCGTCGATGTGTCCATCAAGCAAGCTGTACCAGATCTGTTGAAAGAATGATCCTGAGAACGATGTCGACAACAGTAGGACTATCATATCCGCCTGCTCGGCAGGCACATAAGCATTCAAATCATTACTAACATCTCAACTACATGTCTCGGACGCCACAGTATCAAACAGACGCACTCAAACAATCCGTCCTGCCCAACGGTGGTCTTGCATGATACCATAAATTGTTGAAAAACCTGGTATAAGATGTTTCATGACTCAATATCCTATATAGGGATAAAGTAGGTCGCACGGTCGACCAGACAATTTCTGCGTTGCACCGGAATTCCCATTAGATGGTATACAAAGGCAAGACGTTAATCAATGAGATATTTCCGCTTGAAGTATGCCCGCAAATGCAAAATCTGCCAGATTCCTAGGCCAACTAATGAAGCCATTGTGAACCATGCAAAATTCTGCACACGGCCATTTGTTGAAACTAGCGGCTCATTGAGATTCAAATAGTTCAGATGACATTATTAATTCAGGACACTTACTATTTGTTGACTGGAAACGTTCCTCTCGCGACTTTAAATAATCCATCTCGTCGACGATCTCTTTTACAACGCCCTCCAATTTGCGCATTTCGGTTTCGAGCCCGGACAGTGACTCTTGGTTTGCAATTGCACTGCCACGACGTGTTAGCATGGGTGATTCCATATCAGAGTAGTAAACGGCTCACTTGTAATCCACGGCATCCGCACCAATGTCAATGTCAAGGTCAATAACCCTTGTCCTCTGCTTTGCCTCTACCGGGCCACCTGTCCATATATTATGAGAAATCATGAGATCTTCGAAGGCGACGAGCTTACCCTGCTTGCCTGGATCTATATAATTCCTGAAACAGACACCCACATCCTCCTCGGAATGCGCTGTAATCGCAAAACGCTTCTCCCCGCTGATGTTCTTCTTACTTAAGTACACGTTCCTATTCGGTCCAGAGTCCAGAATTTCGATATCAACTCGCTGGTGTTCGCCCGGACCAATGTTTGCTGTTACGATGACTAGTGCACCAGGATGGGCAGCATTCCAAATGCATTTCGGAGCGGGGAAACGCGAAGCTGGGAGAGCGAACTTGATGGCATGCGACGGGTGAGTAAGGAGGAGGAGGACTGTGACTACCAGGAGAATCGGAAAGCCAAAGATGTGGGGAGACCGTCGTGACATGAAGGCCGAAACGAACGACTAGGTGCGAGGGATGCGAGTGCTGTTCTGGAGGATGGCGGCGTGTCATCGGCGCCTTCTACGGGCCAGCGCTTGCAGAGCCTCCCGATCTTTTCGGTCATCCAGTCCTAGTAAGTTACAAGCCTTTGTCTATGATTCGATAAGAGTCCAATCTCCATCGGCACAAATTGAATAATTTGTCTCTGAAAGGTAGCTGATTCGTTTTTGGAAGTGTCTTCAACCCACATCAACCTCAAGATCGCTGCCTTGGTGCCAGTACACGACGAGGTGATGTGTTTTCCGTGACCCGTCTTGGATATTCTATAGCACCTCTATGTCCCACGTGGCGGTGAGTGGCTGTAGGCTCCAGCAAACTTGGATGCACTGATGTGCAACCCCACAGAGAATACAGTGAAGCGGGATTGGAGCACGATGGTAGGATGGTCCCGGGGCTTGTGGCTTGGCGGGCCTCGCACGCCTTACCTGTCGAGTCCGAGGATGTAATGAAATGAACGACAAAGATCCGTACATGATAAAAGACATATGTATATATACTTTTCGAGTCAGTAAGCCCAACAGCAGCACTACTTACTAGATGCTGGCCTGTCATTCGAGACCTTTACTACTCTGCTGTATGTTTGTGGGGAAGTGCACTGATTTTGAGACTTCTATCAGCTGAATACGGACATCATGTCAAGAAGCCCGAGCTTCAATTATATCTACACTTACATGTGCTTGAAGAGTTGGTGCGTTTGAATTCTCGTTACGTGACGTTGACATGCTACGCATTGATTAATTGTCACCGTGAGTTGATTGATTCGATTTTTCGCTCCAAACGGTTTGGTTGCATAACGAATATATGTTCATCGTGTTTTAAGGTTTCAAGTATGGTTCGAGGTATGGATTAGCAGATTCATTCAGATCATAAGTGTGCAGAGGATAACTGTGCATCGATTAAAGCAGTCACTATTCGATTATTACTGAAATGCGAGATACTGCGCCTGTCACAACACCTACCATCCTGGGCGGTGGGGCGAGTTACTGCACGATACGACGAAAATTCAGAAGCAAAAGCAATCCTAGAAATGAGACACTCAGAAGTTGCCAACTGCATGACTGGGACGAAATGTGTTATTGGACTTGATATGCTTCAAAGCAGCAGGGAACGATGCCCGAACCAGGAAATCTCCCAGAGGTATGAATGAAGATGTTTCTTGTGAGACCAATGAGGGCATCTCAGGACCCCTAGGGGTAGTTGTTATTCCAATATCAGAGAGACCATGATACAAATTAAGACAAGTCGGATAGGCCCTGTTCATTGTAGTCCAGATTAGTCGCTATACATTCAATGCACGTTCTGGAGCGACTAAGTCCCTCAGGCGGAAATCACATTGTGAAGAGCTCTACCCCGTCACGCGAGTATCAAGCTCGTCGACGTCCCATAGAAAGCTGTCCTCAGTGTCTATGTCGACGATTCGGTCCGCAGCAGATCCAGTGAACGAGCGCACGAGAGCCTCTCGGAGATCGAGCATTAGGCGCGACATAAAGATGGAAGACAATCTGAAAGGCCGAGTGGGCAATTTATTAGCAGTGTGCGATAAAGAAGGCGATGCACCAACGCAGCAAGGTCGGCAAATTTGATCGTGATCTGCGTATACTACAGTCAAACAATGAGTGATTACTATGTAGCGTGCAATACGAAAATTCTACCGTTCCAAATGCCATCGTCACTGAGTTGAATGCAAGCACGGCCCTAGTTGCACAAGTCAGATCGTGGTTGCAAAGCTTTGTCATTTTTACTGACAAAAAATACGCCGTTCCTGTAGCTGAATCATCAGAAGGATAGTATATGATCACCAACGTCAAAGCTTACCGTCTCGGAGAAGGAGTTCCGATAAGTTTGTCTTCAATTTGACTGTCGAGGTAAGCTTGTACACCCGGTACGTTCGAACCCAGGTCAAAACAATGACCAGAAAATCTGCGATGATACTGGTAAGACGAGACACCATAATTCCTATGTCAACGTCTACGAGTAGTGAGCTCAGCTATGTTACCAAATAACCTTACCATAGACAACACACTCACTAGCACAGCTGAGAAATGTATGAGTAAATGCATTAAAATGTCGATATAATACTTGTTTACATACTCACATACTAAGTATCGGCACTATATTGTTGCATGGAGCGATATATGTCTGCAAATTACCATCTTGAAATCCCCTTGAAATTCTTTCACAGAAAGCGATGACTGCTCACCATATACACGATGGGTAGGACAAAAGTGAGTGCCAAAAGTGATAACAAAATTGGAATATTGCGATTCCACAAGGCAGAGATTCTCATTGTTGAGATCACTGAAAGTTTGGATCAATGTAAGCACCATGGCGATTAAAGGAAATTGGCCTACATGCAACGGTGGATAGTCCTATGAAAGTGGTCGTTGCTTCTATCCATACAATGATTAAGCAGCTAGCCACTGGTCAGAGTGGCTGAACTTGAGGACACTCGCGAAAGCGTTCACCTCTTCATCAACTATTTTTAGAAGCCGAACGTATGGCAATCAAGCCGCTCACTTTATTTGGACACGTTTCCTGCCAGTTAAGTACCATCAAGGCGATCAAGGCCGCTCGATTGACCAAGGTGACATAGCGGGTGACGAAGAACACCAGTGCCGCCCATGTTGTTTTGCTACACCAGAATTGCTCTACCTCGGCCTTAAAAGAAATGACGAACTCATAGAGGACAATAGCTACAGGAGACAATAGAGTCAGACACTGATCATTTTGCATATAGCTGACACAAATCAGCTCACTGGTTGTAGCAGCAGATGCAATACTGACAAGGGCCGAGTATCGAACAAACAAGTTAGCGATCATATTTCAGTATTGTTTTGAAGAACGACCTACGTGTCCCGGTTCATCGCATGGAATAGTCACAGACTACACATATGGTGAAGAAGTAGCCGAAGGCGATAGGGTGTCCAGCACGTACGGGCAATTATACGCGCTCAATAGCTCAACAGCTCATGCGCTCATGTCATGGGATGCGATGATGGTGTTCGTCGCACTAAGAACCCAGCGACAGATGACGTTCCGATGGAAGATTTCCAACGCCCGCAACGACTGATCATCATGATACTTCAATCCCACACCTGCCGCAAGAGCATGTTGAGATTGCTCCGGAAACGCATGAACAAAGTGGTCTTGAGCGGTCACAGCACGATGGCATACCAAGACCGACAACGACATACCCACGCACCCAGGATTCGGCTCTCATCACAAACGTGTCAAAAACCCCCGCTGATTATAATTCAATCAAGACGATACTACTACATCACGAAGTCAGTATGGTCGGCATCTTCCATTACGGAATGCATCTATCACGGAACACCAGCCATTTTCTTGAGTACTGAGAACTCGTTCTTACCCGTCGCCTTGCACAACGCGTGGAAGCTGGACGAAGGGTCTGCAAGCAATGCACCAGGTTTATCGAACTCTGCAATCCGGCCTTGGTCAAGCAGCATAACCTGATGCAGAGACTGCGTCAGAACTATCATCAGGTTGCTAAGGGTTTAAAAACAAACCCTGTCGTAGTCAATGACCGTGCGTAATCGATGTGCAATCGTGAGGATAGTACTCTCGGCGAACTCGCTGAGAATCAAATCAGAATCAATCGTAGGTCAAGGAAGGACAGAGTCACGCACTGTCTAATTGTTTTGCCAATCAGCTCATCCGTTGCGTAGTCAACGCTATTTCAACACCAATTAACACCGCTCAGTCACAGTCAAACTATTCATACCTAGCAGTTGCCTATAATAGTGGCATACAACCATCAATATCACTTCTCGCTGCGACCAATTGAAAAGACATACCTCATCCATTAGTAATACCTTGGACCGCTTCAGGATTGCACGGGCCATGCAAAGTAACTGCTTCTCTCTGTTCATCCATGTTAAACACGACACAGATGATTGGACACTAAAGCAGTGCGTACCCGCTGGAGAAATTCTCTCCACCCTCAGACACAGCCGAGTCAAGGTTGCGGAAAACATTTGCGTTGACTGTCTCAGCATCTTCTGCTGGCGTATCACTACTGGGAATCAGATGTACGCGCCGTAATGCTTCATACTAGATGTGGTTTGAGCAATAACAAGCAAAAGTAATCGCCTTGGAAACTTACAATCTCTGCATCTTCGTACTCATTGAAGACGTCAAGGGTGGAGCGCAGCGTTCCGCTCAGGATCGTAGGATCCTCTGAAGATATTGCTGAGCACTCCCTTCGACAACAAAGCGTGGCCACTCACGAGGGATGATTGTAAGTTTGCTGCGCAGGTCACTTAGACCCATTTTTGAGATATCCAAGTCGTCAATAACTATGCGACCCTCATTGGGCTCAACGAAGCGGAAGAATGACAACGCCAAGGTACTCTTGCCCGAACCGGTTCTACCGAGGACACCGACTTTCTCACCCGGCTTGATTTCGAAATTCAGGTTGTGAAGCACATTGGGGAGATCAGGCTACGAACGATCAATTAACGAGGTCGATGTGCATCCGGAAGAGTAGCTTACAGCGTATCGGATCACCAAATTTTCGCACTTGATAGATCCCTTCTCGGGCCACGAAGCAGGAGGACGGGGCTCGATGAATTCCGGTGGCTCGCGAGGCAACTCCGAGAACTCCTTGATACGTTCCACGGCAACCTGATGGGCGCAATGATCAATGAGAAACTATTGGCACAACATCAACCTATACTTACCAAGGACTGCTCGAGACCCACAAATCGGCGGACCTTCATTTCATGATGAATAAACACGTGTCAGATCACCTCCAGCTGATAGACATACCAAGAACAGCAGCTGCGACATCCGAAACTCAGATCATGCAGAACTAATATTACAGCAATTGTACTCACGTCGTTCAAGACGGTCGATGCGAACGCAAGTGCGAAACCGGCCAGGGAAGCACTAATGCCAGGCGTCAAGATAGCGACGAAGGCGGTGACACCCACAACGGCGCTGGACAAAAGATTGAAGCGGGCAGACAACCAGCGGTTCACTATAGAACAATCAATCGAAACTTCTGAGAGGTACACAGGGACCACATACCTCCCCACATCCAGTAGTACGGATTCGAGTTCTAGACCATGTTCAGTCTATGCATGGAACACATCTGAGCCGTAACTCACGGTATCCACGCAGCGGAGCATATCTCTCATGAACTTGGTGGATGCACCGAATGCACGTAATACAGTAACGCCCGCAATCGTTTCACCGTAGATGGAGTAGAGAGGCGAGCGTGTCACAGAGTCTATCAAATATGAATCAGTGACTATCGGTATGATTATGTCTCTAATTCAGCCATACCTAAACGACGCATATCACGAGATGTTTGGCCATACACCTATACGCACAATAAGGCGAGATAAAATGGAATAGAAAAGCGAAGACATACCCTCCCAACTGGAAATAGTGAATCAGTATAATGATACATCATTTGAACGATCCAGTTAAGCCCCACTCACCGCTGTAATAAAGTGCGCCAAAGATGATAGATGCCAGCAGGAAAGGGAAGCCCCCGACATAGGTGATGGTGACGAACGTCGTCGCGGCTGACAAACCGTACGCCATACTACGACCAAAGTTGTCGGGCAGATTGCTGTCGATTCCTACATTGAGGTAAGCATACATCGATTCGTAAAATGATAGGTATAAATCCCTTACCTTCAAAGTCCTTACCGAAACGGTTGAGCAAGCGACCTCGAGAAACGGTATCGTGGAATCTGATATTCGCGAACAGGACACCCTCAAGCAACCCTAACTAGACATGAGCAAGGTACAGCGGAAAGAGCTTTAAGAACTCGCACTCTTGTACAGTACTGTAGAAGCATGGATACCACCCTGATCTAATTATTGGCAATTGAATCACGCAGTCACCACTTGGACATGAACCATCACTCACAAAGGACAATCCATCGCACAGTAGAGAGTACCACGCCTTAAAGCCAAAGTGAGTTAGCAAGAAAAACCCTTGGCACAATACTCGTACCAGCCGCTGTGATCTGCGCAACAGACTCTCAGTATTTGAGAACACAACAGCTAGCATTGCTGCACTTACAGCCGCATAGATAGTAATGTAAAAGACAGGGCCCTTGGGAGCGTCACTCTCCAGAGCTGACCCTGTCCAGACACTAGGGGAATCATTCAGCACATCAACGGACTCGGACAACATTCCTCCACGTACCGAAGCCATCCATTCTCCGCTACAGGACTCAATGCGGCGAGGAAGAGGGAAAACACGAATAATATCCAATAAATATAGCCACCGCAAGCGCTGATGTAGGTCATCCAGATGTCCTTGCTGATCCGCCCAACAGCTCGCTTTTCCTCTTCAATGAGCTTTCGCGGGGTCTTCTTCTCCTCGGGCTTCGTGTCCGCACCAGGAGCGACGGTGGAACTGCTATCTGCGCTGCTTTCTGCCGCATCATCCTTTTCGGTCTTCTCGGAGAGATCCTCGATGTCAGCCACGGTCTTGTCCTCCTGGTCGTCCGCCGGGTCCGCCGCGCCAGATTGGACGAGCGTGCTCAAGACGCCAGACGAACGGAACTTGTCGCGGTCACCCTGGTATAGGACTCGACCGTTGTCGAGAGCGACGATGTAGCTGGCGCCGGGGACACAGAGTTGGACGTGGTGGGACACCAAAATGACCGTTCGTCCGCGCATAAGATCGCCCTTCAAGCACTCGTTGTAAAGATGACGGGCAGTGTGGGCGTCCACTATAGGTATATAAGTTTACTGTGCATGTCAACATAGAGGACGAATTGCTCACCAGCCGAGAGAACATCGTCGAGTAAGAGCACAGAAGCACGAGAGTACACGGCACGAGCCAGCGAAACTAGACAGTTATGAGTAGACCCATACAGAAATGACTATTTTTTGGCTCACCTCTAGCTTTTTGACCTCCGGATAGGTTGACCTAGAAGAATAGTTCAGAAATGCGAAAAGGAAACCAGTGCAACAAAGACTCACTCCGCGTTCTCCAATCTCAGACATATCGCCGTCTTCGAGGATTTTCAAGTCGCTGAGCAGTGCGCACACCTAATGAGAATAAGCTAAAGACGACCTCCCACAAATCGCGCGGACCATTCACCTCTAGAGTCTTCTGGTATCGTTCCTCAACGTACGGCAGATCGAACAAAATATTATCTACAGAACGTGAGGATCATAATGAGACTAGCAGGGCATTGAGCAGACAACGCACCTCTAATCGAAGCATTCCGAAGCCATGCCGTCTTCCACGCTCGTCAGCCCAGGACATGTGGACTCCATATGACGACCACTCACCTGCGGGACATACGCACAAACGCCCTGCACAATCCACTCGTCCTCAGGCGGAATGACCCCAGTGAAGGAGGCGAGCGCGTCAGGCGGCGAACGGGGGCACGTCAACTGGCCAGCTAGCACGTCGGCTTCACCAAGGAGCGCTATCATCAAAAATCACATCAGCCCGCCAAGAAATTCACCTCAAGGATGCAGCGCATACCCAGAAGCAGCAGAGACTTTCCACATCCGAGTTTACCACAAATCAGGGACAGCTCGCCCAGAGGGAAATCGAGGCTGAGGTCTATCAAGACGAACTTGTTTTTGGGCGTCGACGCAGCAGAAGGCGTGGCGCTCGCTCCTCGCGTGCGGTCTTGCGGCCAGGTGATGGTAGCGTTCTGCAGCGCGATGGGCTGAGCCTCGCCGTCGAGTGGCCTGACCTTCTCTACTTCAGCGCCGTGCAGATACTTCTCAATACGTCTCATGGACACGAGAGACTACCAAACCATCAGAGGAGAGACTGCGGAGAGAGCGATGGACATACTTGGAGCATGTTGATGAATGTCTCGGGAAGCGCGTTCAAGGCGAATTTCATCTCATTGAAAACTGTTGGGCAACAAATACTCAGACTAGAACTTTAGCAGCAGGAATATGGGATACTGACCCGAGATGGCTGTGAATGCGATCGACGGGGTAAGGACCTGTTGACGGACAACGGTGAAGTGCCAGAAGGAAACAAGTGTAACGAGAATCGGGGATGCATTCCTGAAAAGTAACAGTGTAAGAAAAACTACATGTCACGGAAGACGATGGAACTTTACCAAATCGTGTTGAAGACGATCTCAATATTGTAGTTGAGTCGCTGGAACTTAAGCTCTCGGGCACGGATTTTCATCACTCGCTCTTCAAAACTGCGCTCCCATGCCATGAACTACCCCACATGTAGCAATTAGCATCGCATGCCTCAAAACTCGCGAAATCGGCCATACCTTGAGCATGCGAATACCACCGAGGATCTGAGGGGAACATGTGTCAATCAAAAACGAAGAGATACGCCAAGGGGAGAACGACGAACTTCATTCATGAGACCCACACGTTCGTCTCGGGCTTTCATCAAGTTGTCCTGGGCGCCCACAACCACCTTGCCGGCATAATGATTCAGCGGCAGGAACAGACAAGTCACGGCCAAACCGAAGAAACATGAGGCACCTTCAAGATTTATGTCAGAAAACGAATGAGCGCAACGGAAGACATTACAGCATACCAAGCAGATGATACAAGAAAAGAGTACCGATGACCAACTCGATCGGAGAGTCTGCAATCGAGTCACTTGAGAATGGGCTCTGCACAAGCTGGCAGGTGCGTACCTATTAATGTGAACAAATGCCAGGCAAACTCGCTGACGCGGTCAACATCCGTCGTCATAAGTGTCATGATCTGCGCCTTGCTCGAAAAGTCGTCGTTCTCTTCGTCGTCGTCCTTCGCCTTTCCGTCCTCCTCAGCAGCACCACTGGCCGGTGCGTCGCCTTCGGCGCCAGCAGTGCCTGGAGTAGGCCCAGAAGAGGAAGCGACATCCTTGCGCACCAGAGTCTTGGCGAAAAGAATCGAGTTCAGCTGCACACGGAAGCGGACCTGCAGAGTCGTCGTCGAGAGGGACCAGAGCTGGCCGGTGACTAGCAGAGATATACATCAGCGCAAAGACCCGCGCGCAGAACAAAAATACCTACTCAGCTGCGTGATCGCGTTGCTGAAGAAGAGACCCGCGCAGTACACCCAGCCCCAGCCCCTGTCCGTCCGATCAGGATCGACCTCGAGGTACTGCACGACGTGCTGCAGGAAATAAGCCGGCGTGTAGAACAGCACCGCGGCGATGGCCGCGAGGGAGATGACCGAGGTCAGAAGCCACGCGTTCACCCTCAAAAGACGGTAGCCGAGTTCCCAGCCAGAGCCAGGACGCGGCCTCCACGAACCCACACGAAGCTTCCAGCGGCGCATCGCGCCGCGCATGTTCGAGAATATTGTCGTGGCGCGCATATCGCCAGGCACGATGGGCAGGTCGGCGATCTCGAGGCTCTCGGCGATGTTGCCGAGCATGACAACTTTGGTGGTGTACGAGAAAAGCAGCGTATCGAGGACAGACGCGCCGGTGACACCGCAGACGTTGCTGGAGTCGGCGTTGCTGAGCTTCATCACGGTTTTGTCCGAGTAGATCTGCTCTGGGGGATAGTACAAAGGTGGGCCGCAGGGGGTCGTCGCTGAGATCGCGCACGCGACGAAGTACAGACCGAGCGTTGCATACCACAGACCTAGCGGGATGGGCGAAGTCTGGTAGAAAGTCAGCTCTGCGAAGGACTTTGCCGGCAAGATGGCTGTGGTGAAGAGGAGACTTGTCGCCATGAACGTCAACGTAAAAATATGTACTATGGACTCGGCGTGAGCATGATCCTTTTGGTGGATCGAGCGGACGGCGAGAACGAGGGAATAGAGCGCGAAGACGACATGGATGACGTAGATGGGTAACTGGACGTAGTCTCGTTCTATTCCGGACCATCCAAGGCAGACGCACTGGATGGTGAGAACGGTGGCAAACAAGAGCGACAAGACGAGCTTGCGTATCCGCATCTGTATACAATGAGATGACCGTCCTTGCGACGATTACACGAGTCTATACGCACTGTAGACCAGAACGCATCTCCGTTAACGGGGGTGCCATCGACGATATCCTGGGGTGTTGTGACGTCGAACGGGTCATGCTGCAGCTCTTCGGATTCGTCGAGCTTGATGCTTCCTTCACTAGGGCGAGAAAGCAGGTAGACCACGAGACTGCATGCAGCACCGATGGCCAAGGTAATGGCAACTGGGAGCTGGTACTGTGGCATAGCAGGCAGGGTGGGGGTAGCACTGTCGACTCGCAAGGCCCTCTTGAATATTTGCGCGCTGGGACCTCAAGCGGAACCGAGGACACGCGTCGCGAAGAGTCACCTCGAATCAAAAACTCCACAAGGTGACCGATTAGCTCGCTATCTATAGGGCAGTCTTGTCTATCCTGACGTGCAGTAGGCGCGTCTGCAGCGTTAGTCTCGTCGAGGCTGGCAAAGCAAAGGGGAGCCTACCCGCCTATCGCGCTGCACTGGGCAGGACGATGTGTCTATGGAAAGCGAACGGAAAGAAAGAAAGAGGCGAGTCAGTGCGACCGCCGACCGGGCATCCGACTCAGGCACTCCGTGATGTGACGGTGTGACTTGCGAGCTGGCGCCCCGCCACACCCGCCCCCGACAGTCGGGAATGAATGCAAATGATTAATGGAACTTGACCGAACTTGGCTGCAACCGAAGAGAACACTGATCACCAGCTGTAATAAATAAGATCGACTGCGGGTGGCTGCATTGTCGTAGTCTAGCCAAGACGGTCGAGATCCAATTGTACAAAGGAGCCTGGGGAAAAAGTGGGGAGGGGACGCTGCTGAATTCGTGGAATCGTTATTACCCGGCTGAGACCCAGCACCTTACACCGCCGAGTTGCCGTGCGGTGACCGAATGTGTAAGTAAAAAATAAGTCGCGACGACGGACAAATGCATTCTCCCCCTCTCAATTTCTTTGAAGTAGTATCCCTCTCACTCACTCCTCTGCCTTCTCATTTAATCTCTATCGCTGACTCGCTCCGCCTCCTCGCACGCGTAAAACCTTGGCTGCAAGTTTCGGCGATTCGACAGTGACTCACTGGTCGTCGCGATTCCAACAATACCTTCATACCGGCCGGCGGCCGGAGGCCCTCCGGAGCCCGAACTCCGTGATAACGCGTCGCGTCACGCGTGACAAGCCGCGTCTTGAAGGACGCGTTCGTTCTTGTTCGCCACCACCACACCACTACTCACCACCAAGCCCACTGCTGCCATGTCCATAGCCGACGGAGAGCCAGTCACCCCAGAGCTCATGCTCGTCTTCTACCAACGCCTCTACCCCTACAAGTCCGTCTACGGCTGGCTCAACCACGACCACAAGCCCACGCGCCTCTTCACCCAGCGCGAGTTCGCGTTCACCCTCCCGGGCGACGTCTACCTCCGCTACCAGTCCTTCGAGGACGCCGACGAGCTCAAGCGCCAGATCGTCAAGCTCAACCCGAGCCGCTTCGAGATCGGGCCCGTGTACAGCGCCCGGGTGCGTGCCCCGCCCGCCTGCCTGCGTGCCCGCCCCTGCCGCCGCCTGACGCCCCGCAGCCCAGAGACAGGAAGACCGTCCGGCCGGGCAAGTTTGTGCCCCTCCTGCGCGAGCTCGTGTTCGACATCGACATGACCGACTACGACCCCATCCGCACCTGCTGCGCCGGCGCGGACATCTGCCGCCGCTGCTGGGCGTTCATCGCCGCCGCCGTGCGCGTGCTCGACGCCGCCCTCCGCGACCAGTTTGGCTACCAGCGCCTCCTGTGGGTCTACTCCGGCCGGCGCGGCATCCACCTGTGGATCTCGGACACGGAGGCGATGGAGCTGACCGACGAGCAGCGCAAGGCGCTCGTCGGCTGGCTCACAGTCATACAGGGCGGGAAGGATATGCGCAAGAAGGTGAATGTCAGGCAGGGCACGCGCGCCCTCCCCCCGTCGATCCGGTCGGTTCTGTGTCCTCGCTGCGTGGCCCGCCCTTGCTGACCTCGAGACGCAGGTCTGCACGAGACGCGCTGGTGTCGGTATTCAGCGACACCGTTCTCGCAGACCAGGACTGTTTTGGTTCGAAGGAGGGCTGGGAAGAGCTGCTGCACCTCCTTCCTGACCAGTCTATGGTGGCGCGTCTGCAGAAAGAATGGATCGCTGACTCTAGTCGGTCTTCGGATGATAAATGGGACGACTTGAAGAGAGAAGCCAAGCGGATTAAAAAGGAAAAGGGAGACCATAGCGCTGCCTTTGTACGTTGCCTCTCATGCACGAGTTTCCTGACCTGACTCATCTTCACGGCAGCTGAACTTTCAAAACCTCATGGAGGACATCGTCCTCCAGTACACGTATCCCCGCCTCGATGCGGAAGTGTCCAAGCACCGGAATCACTTGCTCAAGGCGCCGTTCTGCGTCCACCCGAAGACGGGACGAGTGTGCGTTCCCGTGGATCCGGCGGACGTGGACACATTCGACCCCGAACGGGTGCCCACGGTGGCACAGCTGCTCCAGGAGCTTGACAAAATCCCTGCTGCCGCAGACAGCGGCGCCACTGAGCACCACTCGGGTTAGCCCATTGGCTCAACGTTCTCCGTAAATATCGGCTGACGCGACAAACAGATTGGGAGAGGACGTCGCTGAAGCCGTACATCGAGATGCTGGACAGACATGTTGCTGGGCTCATGGAGGAGGTTAGGCTTGCCTCCCGAAGCAGGATGGCGAAAGGCGAGTGACGACTTGTTCTCTTAGTCCGACCACCGCGGCTTACGGGCGTTGCTGGATATTCAAACAGATACGGCGTGGTGAGGGCGGGATGCCGCAACCCGTTTGCAATACCTAGTGTACGTTAGGGCGTGTATCAGCCGCGTGTAATATTAGCTTTCCCTGCACAGCTTGCGCTGGCCCACCGGGGTGAATGTGAAGCTGGTGCATTGACGACATGTTCACGGGCGGGGACAGCTCGAGCGCTCGGGATCTGAGACAGATCTAAAGATCGTCTGGGTTGAACCTGGACCTGCGCTCGCCGACCCCGCAGTCGGTCGATTGAGTCTGATTCGTGGAATCCAAAAATATTCGCTCATCGACGTGGCGACTGCTCTCACCTTTGGTGTTCGCTGGCGTCAAGCTTCAACGGGCGCGCTTGAATCGGACAAAACGGGGCCCGAGGTGGCGTGTAGGGCGGGGGGGGGGGGGGAG